TGGGTACTCCGAGCAACGCCCGCCTCTCGTGCTCGAGGTCATCTGCAAAGGACGACGCCTCCAAGCACTCGTGGACAGCGGAGCGTCTCACACCGTCTGCGACAAGGCAGCAATCGACCGACTTCGAGAAGAGTACAAGCCTTCGGGATTTTCTGCAACGATGGTGGATGGCAGCAAGCTACCAGTGCACGGCGAAGCAGTGTTACACCTACAAATTGGACCACTGCGCTGGAGACCTGCACTCCCCATCACCAACATCAAAGGGCTTGACTTGATCTTCGGGCGAGACTTCCTGAAAAGATTCAACCCCGAGATCAACTGGGTGAACCGCACCGCAAGCATCTACAACAATGGACGGAGAGTACAGCTACCCAACTGGGACGATACAGGAGATATCCCAGTGGAGACACTCGCACGATTCGAGAAGGATGTGAAACGAACCGACACCGGGTTCCTGGCAATAGCAACAGAGGTGGAAGACGGCAAGGAGAAGATCTCGGAACCTACAGGAAAAATCAAGGAATTGCTGAAGGAGTTCCAAGACATCCTTCCTGACGACCTACCGAACGAGCTACCGCCATACCGCACGCATCAACACGAGATCGTGGAGGAACCGGGTTCGAAGCCGACCTTCCGAGCACCATATCGACTCAGCCCTACAGAGCTGACCGACATGAAGAAGCAGATCGAGTATCTCCTAGCCAAAGGACTCATCCGACCATCTACTTCACCATACGGTGCCCCAGTACTCTTCACACCGAAACCGGACGGAAGCCTGCGCATGTGCATCGACTACCGAGCTCTTAACAAGCAGACCATCAAGAACAAGTATCCGATACCACGAATCGATGACCTGCTTGACCAGCTTCGGGGAGCTACGGTATTTTCCAAACTGGATCTGCGGTCCGGATACTGGCAGATACGGATGGCGGACAACTCTATCCACAAAACTGCTTTCCGAACTCGGTACGGATCGTACGAGTATCTAGTAATGCCGTTCGGACTCACCAACGCACCGGCAACGTTCCAAGCAGAAATGAACCACATCCTACGACCACTCTTGGACGAATGCGTGGTGGTGTACCTGGACGACATCCTCATCTACTCGCGCGACATGAAGCAGCACGTCGAACACCTGCGACGCGTCTTCGAAATTCTTCGGCGTGAACGTTTCTACGTCAAACTGTCCAAGAGCGAATTCGCCCTGGAGAAGGTCCAATTTCTAGGACACATGGTGAGCGCTCAAGGAGTTCACGTCGACCCCAAGAAAATCGAAGCCGTACGTACGTGGAAGACACCCGAGAACGTGAAGGAGTTGCAGCAGTTCCTAGGCTTCGCTAATTACTACAACAGGTTCGTGCCACAGTATGCGAAACTCGCGGCACCACTCACGAATCTGCTGAAGAAGAACACGCCCTACAAATGGGAGACGAAGCACCAGGAAGCCGTGGAGCAGCTGAAGCAAGCACTTACGTCCGCACCGGTACTCATCTTGCCAGATCCCGAACGTGACTACGTCATTGAAGCAGACGCCAGTGATCAGGCCGTGGGGGCAGTCTTGATGCAAGACCAGGGGAATGGACTGCAACCAATTGCCTACCTCAGCAAGAAACTGCACGGGGCAGAACTAAACTACCCGATACACGACAAAGAGGCTCTTGCTATTGTCATCGCCTTCAAAGCATGGAGATGCTACCTCGAAGGACGCAGAACAACCGTCTACACTGACCACTGCAGCCTAAAATATTTGAAGACACAACCTAACCTTTCCAGGCGGCAGGTCCGGTGGATCGACTTTCTCGAGACGCACTTCCACTACGACATCGTGTACAAGCCCGGCCACAAGAACAAAGCAGACGCCCTTAGCCGGCCTGCACACGTTGCCGCTATTCAGGTCGAAGGGATGAATCCACTACTCAAGGGACTCTTCACACACGGGTATACCATCGACCCCGAAATTCCCTTGGCAGAAAAGCGACATCTCCTACAGTGGGACAGTGACATCGCGTACCGGAAAGGATCAACGAAAATCTGGGTACCCAATCACCCTCCTTTGCGCCAGTTACTACTGGAAGAATACCACGACGTCCTCTACGCCGGACACTTCGGTAGCAACAAGACACTGACCGGTATCGCAAAGCACTACTACTGGCCTCACTTGGCAGATGATGTTCAGAAATTCGTCACCTCGTGTGATACATGTCAACGGGTGAAGAGCAGTAAGCAGAAGAAAGCAGGATTGCTACAGCCTCTTCCCGTCCCAAAACAACCATGGCAAGTGGTTAGCCTGGATTTCATCACCGGGTTACCACCTACCACCAGCGGTCATGACGCGATCCTCGTCGTCATCGACAAATTCTCTAAGATGGGACACTTCATCCCGACGCACACGACAGCACGCACCGAGGAGACAGCACAACTCTTCGTTCGATTCATCATCTCACAGCATGGCATTCCAACTACACTCATCTCCGACCGAGACCCCAAGTTCACCAGCAAGTTCTGGAAGGAACTTATGTCTCTCCTCGGGACAAAACTCGCCATGTCATCTGCATACCATCCGCAGACAGACGGACAGACCGAGCGCCTTAACCAAATTGTTGAGCAACTCTTCCGAGCAGCCTGCAAGGACGAGATCTCCAAATGGGACTTGCGCCTGCCTGTTTTAGAGTTTGCCTACAACAACGCTCCACACGCCGCTACTGGACAGACGCCGTTCTTCCTCTGCTACGGACGCCACCCACTCACACCACAGAAACCGACAGCATCAGCAACAGTCCAACCTGCACATGATTTCATTACCACCATGCATCAGCTTTGGGATCGGACCCACAAGCGCCTCCTTGACATTCAACAGCAACAGAAGCGCCAGGCCGATCGCCATCGCAACGACCACACCATCACGGTGGGAGACCAGGTGCTTCTCGACACCCGCAACCTGGACATCAGCCATCTCCCATCAAAACTTCGACCTCGCTTTTGCGGGCCTTTCCTCGTTGAAGCACAGGTCACTCCTGTTACCTTCCGCTTACGCCTGCCAGCTACCTGGAAGATTCACAACGCCTTCCATGTCCAACTTCTGAAGCCCTATCGGGATCCTAACACGATCTTCGTCGGACGCCAACCGCCGCCGCCGCCGCCCGTCCTCGTCCAAAATGAACCCGAATACGAGGTCGAGTCCGTGCTTGCACACCGCCGTCGTCGGAATGGCACCGTGGAGCTTCTTATTCGCTGGAAGGGTTATGATCCTTCTGAAGACAGCTGGGTCTCTGAGACCGACATGGGTAACGCCCGGCGTCCTCTGCATGACTACCTTGTCAAGCTGGGTGTTACTTCTACCACCCAGCTTTGAGGGGGGGAAGTGTGAGAGTACGACCTCGTTACACCACTTGGCCTTTTCCATATTTCCTCTTCATTTCATTCCTCTTTTTATCTCATCTCATTTGGTCTCATATTCCCCATTTTCCATTATCCTTTGGTTTCTTCCCTTATTATAATTATATCACCGACCAGGCATGGAATGTTCTAGACACGCTATCTAGCGTAATCCTGCCGTAATCCCTTAAAGCCAATAGCCTCGCGTGGCTATACGCAGGGTGATTCTATTTCTAGAAGGGTCTATTTCCTTTGGATAGGATAAAACCTGGTTACCTGATGTACTCTGGAAGTATAAAAGCGCCTTGTACTGATCGATAGTGCAACCTTTCCTCGAGTCATTCGATCCTGTGACAGTCGCGAAGAAATTCGGACTAACACCGGCTACCGCCTCAACTCCCTACCGCTACGGAAACAACAACAGCGCCTCCGCAAAACTCCCCGCGAAGCAAATCCAGGAGTATCAACAGAAGCTCGGCTGCCTACTATTTGCAGCAGTAACCTGCCGACCCGACCTGTCCTATAGTGCAAGTCAACTGGCGACGCATCTGAAGCAACCGGAACAGGAGGATCTCGAGGAGCTCAACCGGGCACTACTCTACTTCATCTCCACGCCGACGATCGGACTTACCTACAGCAAAGCGACAACATCGTCCGTACAACTACTCGGATACGTCGACGCCGACCACGCGGGAGATAGGGAAAATCGACGATCTAGGACGGGCTACATCTACCGACTAGAACCCATCGGAACTATCTCCTGGCAGTCGAGCAAGCAGGAGTTAATCGCACTATCCTCTGCTGAAGCAGAGTACATCGCCCTTTGTACCGCGACCAAGGAAGGACTCTACCTGCGAGAGTTACTCGAGGAAGCGAAGATCGCGACCCTGCCCGCCTTCTCACTCTTCTGCGACAACCAATCTGCGATCAAAATCGCAAACAAGGACGGCTTCGCCAACCGAACCAAGCACATCGCCCTGCGGTACTTCTTCGTCAAGGATGAAATCGCGAAGGGGAGACTTCAACTCAGTTACTGCCCGACGACAGAAATGGCCGCAGACTATTTGACGAAGAAATTGGCGAAGGCAAAATTCGAATACTGCATGGTGCTGACCGGACAAACAAACGTCATCGGACCTGAACAAGTCAGCACTCCAGAAACGAAGGGGAGTGTTGAAAGTACATCAAAAGACTTAAGCGTTTCTGAAGTGTAACACTACACTCGAGGAAGATTGCAAGGGGTACGCGAGTCAACGGAGGTTACACGAGGGGCGGACAAAGAACACGAAGGGTCTGGGACTCAAAGGGTCGCAACTGGAGGTTGCGACTGACCGTTACAGCATCACGGATGGTAACCGAAGCGGCAATCGAGTCGCTATGCGACTCGATAAACCGTTCCTGTAACTGTACTCTGCAACTGCTTTCTTATCTTCTATATATTGCTGTATGCTTGTTTCTTTAATCAATCACTTGTTCTCACATACTAGTACAAGGGTTCAACTGTCTCAACTTCCGCTGCACTACTCAAAGTCTCAAGTCTCTACAGCTGGGACTTAGTCTCTGCAAAAGATCCTAAGGGCTTTTCTCAGCCCAACATGGTATGAGAGCTGGTCAGACACCAAAACTCCCAGCAACTACACTCCATCAACAACCAGCAACTCAACTTGATTCAACAACTCCATTGATTACAAGACATGGACAACAAGGGCAAGAAAGTCTCTACGGGCTCACCAAGCGCCCAAGAAACTCAACACGGCAACTCTGGTCTGCACACCTCAGGACTGCAGACAGAGACCGGGACTACTCAAGAAACAACGGGAAGAGTACCAGAGATGGTGACTCCGTCTCCCTCTTCAAGTGTGGACCCGAATCTCATGGAGAGATTCTTCAGCTTCATGTCACACTTCGACCAGCAGCAGCAGACAAGGACACCTGCGCAAAAGATCCTAAGGGCTTTTCTCAGCCCAACAACATGCATAAACCTCTACTGCCCACCTGACTGAGCACTTCCACTTTGAATAGTTGAAAGTGTACCACCACCGTGCAACTCATTCGCCTTCAATAGGAATAACTTATCCCCGTCTCGGATCAACTCAATTGCAGTTACAACCCCCGAATCGCTCCCAACCAAACCAGCAAACGGCGCACCAAAGATGTTGGAGGCAGTTGCTAGGAGATCAGGGATGGAGGGCGGGAGTGGCATGAGTTGGCCAACTCTTTGCGGCTTGAGCTCCCATGGGGGAAAGGGAAACACAGTAATTCTCTGGCAGGTCGAATAATGTGGAAGGAAGGATAGAGGGCGGGGGGTTGAGTTGGAAGAAATGGAGGTGGTTGGTAGGATACAGAAGTTGGCAACTGTACGTCGGAGACTACATATTTCCGAACGGAGCACATAAGCAAGGGAAAGAAACTAAGGTCAGGGACATAGAATTCAGACAACAAGAAACACCGTCACATTGAAGAAGAGGAAGAAGAAAAGAGAGGTAACTCTTCACAATCTCACCTTCGGCCCCAGAGGAACAGGCCTTCCCATGCCAGCACCGCCAGCGCCACCAGCAGCACCACCACCGCCATACCCCATCCCTCCGGCCCGTCCCCCTGTCCTCCTCACCCAGCACCCCCAGGGGGCCGCCACTGCGCCTCCCAGGTGACGCTCCTCCCGGACCTCTCCACTGGGGCGTGCCGGACCCGCTCAGGAGCGGCGTTACCGAGCCTGACATGTTGATTCGGGGAGTTGCCGAGCCATCTTCGGTGATTCGGTCCCAGTCCGCATCGGCAGGTGCAGGGAGGGAGGACGGATGGGAGTTGGTGAGGGAGTGAGAGTGAGGGAGGGGGATGGAAGGAAGGGTGGGGGTATCATGAGGTTCTTCTGAATGAGAATGGGGGAGGGGGAGGGGGGAGGGGGTAGATGTATGGGAAGTGCCGTCAGCTGCTGCAGCAGTAGCAGAGGAAGCAGCACCACAAGCAGTGGTGGCAGGAACAGGCGCGGGAATGGCAGTAGTATGAGAAGCAGCAGTGGGTTCTGCTGGGATAGGGGATGCTCCCGCAGCAGCAGAAGCATTGAAAGAGGAAGCGGCCGCCCCCGTAGCAGCCGTTGCAGCAACTGCAGCAGCAGCAATTCCTTTTTCTCCTGCCCCTGCCCCTGCCCCTGCCCCTGCTTCCTCTCCCTTCTCCCTATCCTTTCCCCCTCCTCCCTGTCCCACTTGTCCACCTCCTCCCCCTTCCTCTTTCCCTTGATCACCATCGTCATCCCCACTCTCTCCACCAATCACAATGCCCCGTTCCCGCATGGCCTCTTCCAACAGGTGGATCAATGGCAGGCTGCCACATCGGCGCGCCTCGTCCAGCGGCGAGTTGCCCACCTATCCACGGCTGCCACGTCAGCGCCGTGCTCTACCAGCAGCCGCGCCACCTGGACAAACCCCTCGGCCGATGCGATGTGGAGGGGTGTGCGGAGGTCGTAGTCTGCCGCGTTGGGGTTTACCCCGTTCACTAGCAGCCTCTTCAACAGGCCTGTGTCGCCCCGCATTACGGCATTGCACAGGTCCGTTCCTGCTTCCTGGGAGGGGAAAGGATGCGTGGGGGGGAAAGGATGCATGGGAGGCGAGAGAGGGATGGAAAGAGGGGGAAGGGGCGTGCAGAGGTCGTAGTCTGCAGCGTTGGGGTTCACCCCGTTTACCAGCAGCCGCTTCAACAGCCCCGTGTCACCCAGCATCACCGCATTGCTTCGGTCTGTGCCTGCTTCCAGGGAAATACGCATGCAGAGGGAGAGGGGGATGGCAAGAGGGAAGGGGGGTTGCAATGGCTGTAAGCTGCTTTGTTGCAGATGATCTGTTCACAAGCAGCTCTTTAACGCACCTGTAAACTTGTACTGTATCGCACGTACCTGCAGGTTGGCAGTGCCGCTCTTGTCTGTCAGTATCTTCGCTGTTGATTCGCTGCTACCGTCAGCGCTTTTGTAAGAAATCGAATACCTAACCCATTCCATTCTCCCTGCATAAAAACACAGACTCACCTGCAGGTTAACCGTGCCGCTCTTGTCTGTCAGTATCTTGGCCGTGGAGTCGTTGCCCGCCCTCAGCGCCTCAAGCAGCGGCGTGGTGCCAAAGTTATCCATGCTATTGACGTCCGCACCCTCCAATAGTAGAAACCGCACCACCTCGTCGAAGCCCCCTGCTGCTGCCAGATGCTGTGGCGGGAAAGGAGGACAGAGAGGGCCGGGAAACAAAAGAAGAGGAAACAGTCCTGAAAGGCTACCGGCGCTGTTCACGTCTGCGCCCTCCAAGGGGAGCAACCAGCAACAAGACGGGCTCATCGAAGCTCCCTGTGGCTCCCTGGCAGCCAAGTGCTGGGAGAAATGAAGGGGCACCGGGAGAGGGCGAAAGGGGAGGGAATGGGGGAGGTCGGGGAGGAGACAGACGTCCCCATTCGCAGACAGAGAAGAATGGCCACCATTGTCAACGTCCCATTCTCATGACAGCCCTTCCCCTCCCCCCTTTCCCCTGCCCCCTTCCCCTCCCCCCCTTCCTCATGCCCCCTTCCCCTCCCCCTTTTACCCACCCCCTTGCCCCCTTCCCCCCCGCCTGCCCAAAATCACCCACCTACTCGCTCCTTTCTTTCCCGGAGTCGGAAACTGAAACCCACCAGCGGCGTGCGCCCGTCGTAGTCCGCCTTGCCCGCATTCGCCCCGGCTTTGATGAGCCGCTTGAGGTGCTCGATGTCCCCCCGTGAGGCCGCATAGATGGTGGTCATCGTGAGCTCCGCCTCCTGCTGCGCGATCAGCGAGGTGATCTCCGACGCCAAGAGTGCGTACTTGCTGCCCGTCTCCGTGGTGCGCTGTGATGTGATGTTGGGAGGGGAGAGGGGGAGAAACAGGCAGGAGAGGAGGGGGAAAGAAACAGGCAGGTGAGGGGGGGGGAGAAACAGGCAGGAGAGGGAGGGGGAGAAACAGGCAGGAGAGGGAGGGGGAGAAACAGGCAGGAGAGGGAGGGGGAGAAACAGGCAGGAGAGGGGGGAATGGTGGTCATGGTGAGCTCCGCCTCCTGCTGTGCGATCAGCGAGGTGATCTCCGACGCCAAGAGTGCGTACTTGCTGCCTGTCTCCGTGGTGCGCTGTGTGATTGTGGTGAGAGGGGGGGGGAGAGGGGGAGTGGGAAGGGGGAGGGGAGGGTTGATATATCGCGGACAGTAGACGAAAGGAGGATGGAGGTGGGTGTCCCAAGATGGGAGTATTCGTCCGTGAAGTGAACGTAGTGAACGTAGAAACAACACCACTTAGAGATTCGGTGTGAAGATCAAAGGATAGCCGAGTCAAACGAAAAACAACACCAATCCAGCTACCTCAAGCAGTTACATCAAGCAGTTACCTCAAGCAGTTACCTCAAGCAGTTACCTCAAGCAGTTACCTCAAGCAGTTACCTCAAGCAGTTACATCAAGCAGTTACCTCAAGCAGTTACCTCAAGCAGTTACCTCAAGCAGTTACCTCAAGCAGTTACCTCAAGCAGGGTCAAGTATTCGCCTCCCGTCCGCCATGACTGTGCTGATAGCCGTGTTTCAATCGTCCCTCTCCAGTCGAACCACCTGTGTTTAGAAAGCCGCCTAAAAACTAGTTACTCTAGCAGGTTGTCGACTATCCTCCTGCCATCCACCATGAACATGTTGATCGCTGTGTTTAGATCGTTCCTCTCCAGCCGAAGCACCTGGTGGCCAAGAAGGTAGAGGAGGGGGGGGTGGGAGGGGGGGCGGGGGAGGACTTGGCATATCGAATCTAGGCAACAGAAGGCTTCAAAGAGTCAAATAGCGGCGTAAAAGGGACGTTCAAATCAGAACGCGGCACACTTGGCACAGTCAGCCCAGCTAAGGCAGGTAACCTGGCACAGCCAGCCCCAGCTAGAGCGGCATACCTGGCAAAACTCAATGACTGAGACGTCAAACGGCTGGGGGATGTTGCAGAGCACTGCCACTTCGCCAAACATCTAAGAAGAACAGGGGAGGAGGGGTGGGTGGCGGAGAAGGGAGAGGGTTTGAGAGGGGAGTATGCCGAGGAATCTATTTTTGAGGCGCCTCAAAAACATCTGAGCAGAAGAGGGGAGGAGGGGTGGGTGGGGGAGAGGGGAGAGGGTTTGAGAGGGGAGTATGCCGAGGAAAGTCAAGTTCTGTCAGTCGGCAAGCAGGTGGGCTGCTGCTGAGGTGCTTGGCCAGTTCATACGTTAGTTCTTTTCCTTGTGCCCTGCAGGTCTTTGCGCTCTGCAGACTTCCACATCCTCGAAACTCACCGCGGCCGGCCCGAGTTCTGAGAAATGCCGCCCGTCACCAGAGGAGGGAGAGGATTCCTCCACACTGCCCTCGCAGATGATGTAGAGGCGCTCGGGGGACAGGTGCAGGTGCACTTGACAGGCAGGCCCCAGCTCCGAGGCCCCAGCTCCGAGGCCCTAGCTCCGAGGCCCTAGCTCCGAGGCCCCAGCTCCGAGGCCCCAGCTCCGAGGCCCTAGCTCCGAGGCCCTAGCTCCGAGCCCCAGCTCCGAGGCCCTAGCTCCGAGGCCCTAGCTCCGAGGCCCTAGCTCCGAGGCCCTAGGTGCTCACAAGGCACGCTCAATTCACCGCGACGGGTCCAAGTTCGGAGTCGTGTCGCCCGTCACCAGACGTTTGAGTGAACTCAGAAGTGTCGCCGCCACCAGACGTTTGAGTCGACTCAAAAGTGTCGCCCGCCACCAGACGTTTGAGTCGACTCAAAAGTGTCGCCCGCCACCAGACGTTTGAGTCGACTCAAAAGTGTCGCCCGCCACCAGACGTTTGAGTCGACTCAAAAGTGTCGCCCGCCACCAGACGTTTGAGTCGACTCAAAAGTGTCGCCCGCCACCAGACGTTTGAGTCGACTCAAAAGTGTCGCCCGCCACCAGACGTTTGAGTCGACTCAAAAGTGTCGCCCGCCACCAGACACCAGCGCCCCACACGTTTGAGTCGACTCAAAAGTGTCGCCCGCCACCAGACGTTTGAGTCGACTCAAAAGTGTCGCCCGCCACCAGACGTTTGAGTCGACTCAAAAGTGTCGCCCGCCACCAGACGTTTGAGTCGACTCAAAAGTGTCGCCCGCCACCAGACGTTTGAGTCGACTCAAAAGTGTCGCCCGCCACCAGACGTTTGAGGTCGACTCAAAAGTGTCGCCCGCCACCAGACGTTTGAGTCGACTCAAAAGTGTCGCCCGCCACCAGACGTTTGAGTCGACTCAAAAGTGTCGCCCGCCACCAGACGTTTGAGTCGACTCAAAAGTGTCGCCCGCCACCAGACGTTTGAGTCGACTCAAAAGTGTCGCCCGCCACCAGACGTTTGAGTCGACTCAAAAGTGTCGCCCGCCACCAGACGTTTGAGTCGACTCAAAAGTGTCGCCCGCCACCAGACGTTTGAGTCGACTCAAAAGTGTCGCCCGCCACCAGACGTTTGAGTCGACTCAAAAGTGTCGCCCGCCACCAGACGTTTGAGTCGACTCAAAAGTGTCGCCCGCCACCAGACGTTTGAGTCGACTCAAAAGTGTCGCCCGCCACCAGACGTTTGAGTCGACTCAAAAGTGTCGCCCGCCACCAGACGTTTGAGTCGACTCAAAAGTGTCGCCCGCCACCAGACGTTTGAGTCGACTCAAAAGTGTCGCCCGCCACCAGACGTTTGAGTCGACTCAAAGTGTCGCCCGCCACCAGACGTTTGAGTCGACTCAAAAGTGTCGCCCGCCACCAGACGTTTGAGTCGACTCAAAAGTGTCGCCCCACCAGAGTTTGAGTCGACTCAAAAGTGTCGCCCGCCACCAGACGTTTGAGTCGACTCAAAAGTGTCGCCCGCCACCAAGACGTTTGAGTCGACTCAAAGTGTCGCCCGCCACCAGACGTTTGAGTCGACTCAAAAGTGTCGCCCGCCACCAGACGTTTGAGTCGACTCAAAAGTGTCGCCCGCCACCAGACGTTTGAGTCGACTCAAAAGTGTCGCCCGCCACCAGACGTTTGAGTCGACTCAAAAGTGTCGCCCGCCACCAGACGTTTGAGTCGACTCAAAAGTGTCGCCCGCCACCAGACGTTTGAGTCGACTCAAAAGTGTCGCCCGCCACCAGACGTTTGAGTCGACTCAAAAGTGTCGCCCGCCACCAGACGTTTGAGTCGACTCAAAAGTGTCGCCCGCCACCAGACGTTTGAGTCGACTCAAAAGTGTCGCCCGCCACCAGACGTTTGAGTCGACTCAAAAGTGTCGCCCGCCACCAGACGTTTGAGTCGACTCAAGAAGTGGTCGCCGTGTCGCCCGCCACCAGACGTTTGAGTCGACTCAAAAGTGTCGCCCGCCACCAGACGTTTGAGTCGACTCAAAAGTGTCGCCCGCCACCAGACGTTTGAGTCGACTCAAAAGTGTCGCCCGCCACCAGACGTTTGAGTCGACTCAAAAGTGTCGCCCGCCACCAGACGTTTGAGTCGACTCAAAAGTGTCGCCCGCCACCAGACGTTTGAGTCGACTCAAAAGTGTCGCCCGCCACCAGACGTTTGAGTCGACTCAAAAGTGTCGCCCGCCACCAGACGTTTGAGTCGACTCAAAAGTGTCGCCCGCCACCAGACGTTTGAGTCGACTCAAAAGTGTCGCCCGCCACCAGACGTTTGAGTCGACTCAAAAGTGTCGCCCGCCACCAGACGTTTGAGTCGACTCAAAAGTGTCGCCCGCCACCAGACGTTTGAGTCGACTCAAAAGTGTCGCCCGCCACCAGACGTTTGAGTCGACTCAAAAGTGTCGCCCGCCACCAGACGTTTGAGTCGACTCAAAAGTGTCGCCCGCCACCAGACGTTTGAGTCGACTCAAAAGTGTCGCCCGCCACCAGACGTTTGAGTCGACTCAAAAGTGTCGCCCGCCACCAGACGTTTGAGTCGACTCAAAAGTGTCGCCCGCCACCAGACGTTTGAGTCGACTCAAAAGTGTCGCCCGCCACCAGACGTTTGAGTCGACTCAAAAGTGTCGCCCGCCACCAGACGTTTGAGTCGACTCAAAAGTGTCGCCCGCCACCAGACGTTTGAGTCGACTCAAAAGTGTCGCCCGCCACCAGACGTTTGAGTCGACTCAAAAGTGTCGCCCGCCACCAGACGTTTGAGTCGACTCAAAAGTGTCGCCCGCCACCAGACGTTTGAGTCGACTCAAAAGTGTCGCCCGCCACCAGACGTTTGAGTCGACTCAAAAGTGTCGCCCGCCACCAGACGTTTGAGTCGACTCAAAAGTGTCGCCCGCCACCAGACGTTTGAGTCGACTCAAAAGTGTCGCCCGCCACCAGACGTTTGAGTCGACTCAAAAGTGTCGCCCGCCACCAGACGTTTGAGTCGACTCAAAAGTGTCGCCCGCCACCAGACGTTTGAGTCGACTCAAAAGTGTCGCCCGCCACCAGACGTTTGAGTCGACTCAAAAGTGTCGCCCGCCACCAGACGTTTGAGTCGACTCAAAAGTGTCGCCCGCCACCAGACGTTTGAGTCGACTCAAAAGTGTCGCCCGCCACCAGACGTTTGAGTCGACTCAAAAGTGTCGCCCGCCACCAGACGTTTGAGTCGACTCAAAAGTGTCGCCCGCCACCAGACGTTTGAGTCGACTCAAAAGTGTCGCCCGCCACCAGACGTTTGAGTCGACTCAAAAGTGTCGCCCGCCACCAGACGTTTGAGTCGACTCAAAAGTGTCGCCCGCCACCAGACGTTTGAGTCGACTCAAAAGTGTCGCCCGCCACCAGACGTTTGAGTCGACTCAAAAGTGTCGCCCGCCACCAGACGTTTGAGTCGACTCAAAAGTGTCGCCCGCCACCAGACGTTTGAGTCGACTCAAAAGTGTCGCCCGCCACCAGACGTTTGAGTCGACTCAAAAGTGTCGCCCGCCACCAGACGTTTGAGTCGACTCAAAAGTGTCGCCCGCCACCAGACGTTTGAGTCGACTCAAAAGTGTCGCCCGCCACCAGACGTTTGAGTCGACTCAAAAGTGTCGCCCGCCACCAGACGTTTGAGTCGACTCAAAAGTGTCGCCCGCCACCAGACGTTTGAGTCGACTCAAAAGTGTCGCCCGCCACCAGACGTTTGAGTCGACTCAAAAGTGTCGCCCGCCACCAGACGTTTGAGTCGACTCAAAAGTGTCGCCCGCCACCAGACGTTTGAGTCGACTCAAAAGTGTCGCCCGCCACCAGACGTTTGAGTCGACTCAAAAGTGTCGCCCGCCACCAGACGTTTGAGTCGATTCAAAAGTGTCGCCCCCCATCAGACGTTTAAGTCGACTCAAAAGTGTCGCCCGCCACCAGACGAGGGGGCGTCTCCTCCACGCTTCCCTCGCAGATGATGCTCGGGGGTAGACGCACTCGAGACAGTCACTCCCTCCCTCACACGTCACTCTCATAACGCGCATACTTTTTAAGCCAATCGAAACTCACTGCGCCGGGTCCGAGTTCGGAGAAGTGCCGCCCGTCACCAGTCGAGGGGGAGGTTTCCTCCACACTGCCCTCGCAGATGATGTAGAGGCGCTCGGGGGAGTCCCTGTGCTGCAGGACCACCTCGGAGGGGAAGTAGTGCTCTGGGGTGACCTTGGTGACCTGGGAAGGGAGGAAGGGAGGGAAGGAGGGAGGGGAGAGGGACTTGTGCGTGTGTGCGAGCGGGGTGTAATGAGTTTCCGGTGATGTAGAGGCTCTCGGGGGAGTTCCGGTGCTGCACGACCACCTCGGAGGGGAAGTAGTGCTCTGGCGTGACCTTGCTGACCTGAAATGGGGGGAGCAGGGGGAGCAGGGGAGAAGGGGAGAGATGTGGGAGTTGTGTTTGGGTGTGGGGCCCGAGCAGATGATGCAGAGGAGTGCTCGGGTGAATCTCTGTGCTGCACGACCACCTCCGAGGGGTAGTGCTCTGGCGTGGCGTGACCTTGCTGACGTGATGCTGTAGGCGATTTTTGAGAATTCTCAAAAATCGCCTTGGTCAGGGGGGTGTGCGGGGGGAGCGTGTGTTGAGGGGGGGTGTGCGGGGGAGCGTGTGTTGAGGGGGGGGTGTGCGGGGGAAGCGTGTGTTGAGGGGGTGGTGTGCGGGGGGTTGGTAATATGGGTCTCAGTGCTGTGTGCCGCTCGGGGGAGTCCCTATGCTGCACTGCACGACCACCTCGGAGGGAAAGTAGTCCCTCACAGACAGGTGCTTCCCCCACCCCACCCTCGCAAGTGCTTCCCCGGCCCAGCCTCACAAGTGCTTCTCCCACCCCCAGCCTCACAAGTGCTTCTCCCACCCCCAGCCTCACAAGTGCTTCCCCCACCCCCAGCCTCACAAGTGCTTCCCCCACCCCCACCATCACAAGCGCTTCTCCCATCCCACCCACCCTTGCAAGTGCTTCCCCGGGCTCACGGCTCACAATCTGGTTGATGAACTCGGGAGAGCACCCCTGGAAGATGTAGCTCTGCTCCACCAGCCGCCGATACAGCGCCCGCGCCACCTTGTGGCGGATGCTGACTGGGAAGTCGTTAAGAATGTTGTCCTCCACCTGGTCCGTCTCGAACTGCAAGCGCACGTGCTGCAGAAAGGGAGTCACGAGAATGGGAAAAGGGAAGACGGAAGAGCAGAAGGCGGAGGGGAAGTCGTTGAGGATGTTGTCCTCCACCTGGTCCGTTTCAAACTGCAGGCGCCCGTGCTACAGTAATGGAGTTACGGAGAAGTAGACGGGGAGAGGGGAGAGCAGGACAAGGGATGCTGACTGGGAAGACGTTGAGGACGTTGTCCTCCACCTGGTCCGTCTCGAATTGAAGGCGCACGTGTTGGGATGCAGGTGCGGAGGATAAGGGGTGGGAGAATGGGAGAATGGGAGAATGGGGAAGGGCAGAAAGAGGGGAAGCCGTTGAGAATGTTGTCATCCACCTGGTCCGTCTCAAACTGCAGGCGCACGTGCTGTGAGAAGGGATGTGAGGAGAAGGAAGGAGAAGTGGGATAACGGAGAAGGAAACGGGGAGAAGGACAGTGAGAAGGAAGCCGTTAACAGAGTTGTTCCCCCACCTGGTTTGAATTTGTTGTTCTCACCTGGTTTGCGCTTCTCAAGTCACCTGGAGCATAAGTTGAGAGCACCTGCTTCGTGCTGTTCCCGCCCCATGCATCTCTTGTCCTCACCTGGCGCATCTTTTGTCCTCACCTGGCGCAACTGTTGTTCTCACCTGGCAAATCTGTTGTTCCCATCTGCCACGGCTGCTGTTCTCACCTGGCGCATCTGGTGCCTCAGCACCCTGGGAATGCGGTTCCTGTTCATGTACTTGATAACCTGCGCCATCCGCTCGCGGTACTTGGTGGTGTTGCTGCCTTTCACTACCAGTGCAGTGATGTTGCCTGAAATGCGGGGGGGGGGGGGGAAAGAGAGAGGGGGAGAGGGTGGTTGAGGGGGAGGAGAGTGGAAGGTGAAGGGAATGCGGTTCCTGTTCATGTACTTGACAACCTGCGCCATCCGCTCGCGGTACTTGGTAGTGTTGCTGCCTTTCACTACCAGTGCAGTGATGTTGCCTGAAATGCGGGGGGGGGGGGGGGGAAGAGAGAGGGGGAGAGGGTGGTTGAGGGGGAGGGGAGTGGAAGGTGAAGGGAATGCGGTTCCTGTTCATGTACTTGACAACCTGCGCCATCCGCTCGCGGTTCTTGGTAGTGTTGCTGCCTTTCACAACCAGTGCAGTGATGTTTCCCAGAGGGATGCGAGAGGAGAAGAGAGGGAGAGGAGAGGGGGGGGGGAATGAGAAGGAAAACGGGAAAGAGAGAGAGGGTACTTGGTAGCTTGAGTCATCCCCCCTCTGTACTTGGTTGTGTTGCTGCCACCGCCGGTAGTACTGACATGCTGCTTACTAATGACTCACTCACCCATGAGATATGCCGACAGGATGAAGTGCTTAAGTAGGTTACTTTTGAGACGTTTCAGACGGAGGTTGGTTTTCAGACGTCTCAGACCTATGTTGGTTTCGAGACGTCTCAAAACCACTAATGAATAACTCGCCCATGAGATATGCGCGGAGGATGAGGTCCACTGTGATGCAGAACGTGGCAAAGAGCATCACCCGGGGGTCCACCGGGTGAATGTCCCCATATATTAGAAGATACTCAGTACTCAGTAGTGGAATAGGCACCAACATTATACTCACCAATAAGACATGCTGACAGAATCAGATCCACGGTGAAATAAAACATCGCGAAGAAGATCATCTCCCTCGGGTTCACAGGGTCGCGAGAACAGGCCCACCTCGCGGAAGCCAGAGCGGGAGAAGCGTGACACCCGTACTACTAGACTGCTGACTAGACAGCGAGAAAGAGTGCTTACCAATGAGGTATGCAGACAGGATCAGATCCACGGTGATGTAGAACATAGCGAAGATCATCTCCCTGGGGTTCACCGGGTGGATGTCTGTCCCCGTACCCAATGGTGGCCATGGTGACCACCGGCCAGTACAGCGCCGTTGTGTATCGCGAGAACAGGCCCACCTCGCGGAAGCTCTCGTAAGAGAAGAGAAGTTCCCCAGGGTGAGGGACCTGATCGGTTGTGACTAGACAGGTGATTTTTGAGTCGACTCAAAAGACAGCCAGGGATACTCACCGATAAGGTAAGCCGAGAGGATCAGATCCACGGTGATGTAGAACATAGCGAAGATCATCTCCCTGGGGTTCACCGGGTGAATGTCCCCGTACCCGATGGTGGCCATGGTGACCACCGACCAGTACAGCGCCGTTATGTATCTCGTGAACAGGTCGACGTCCCGGAAGCTCTCGTACGAAAAGTTCCCCAGGGTGAGGGACCCGATCCACGTGTAGCCCTCGTCCTCGGGTGGCATGGTGGTGGCGAGGTAGTAGAAGAAGCAGCCGGCCACGTGGGTGATGTACATCTCGACGATGATCAGCTTGAGGAAACGGACAGCGAAGTAGCTGAGTCGAATGTCCCTCTGCAGTCTAGTTTCAGGCGAGCAAGGCACAAGGGAGAGGTGAGCAGGAGAGGGAAAGGGATGGGAGAGAGAATGGGGGAGAGAGAGGAGGGAAGGCGCTTGAGGGATCCGATCCACGTGTATCCCTCATCCTCGGGTGGCATGGTGGTGGCGAGGCAGTAGAAGAAGCAGCCAGATACATGCATGATGTACATCTCAAGCGGATGAGCTTGAGTGCATGGCGAAGTAACTCAAGCAGATGTCTCAGAAAAACCCCCCGCGAGTTTTTGGTCTGTGGCTTGACCAAAAACGGGACCACGGCATGACGCACCTGTGGAAGTATCTGAAGAGGTGCCGCATCCTGAGCACTCGGGTCCACAGCAGCCACTGCAGGAGATTGGCCGCTCCGCTGGCGCCTGCCAGCTGAAACGATGACGGGGGGGTGGGGGGTGGGGGAGGGGGGTGGGGGAGGGGGGGTGGGGGAGGGGAGGTGGGGGGTGGGGGGTGGGGGAGGGGGGGTGGGGGGTGGGGGGTGGGGGGGGTGGAGGAGGGAGGGCGAGCGGAGGAAGCTTGTAAACGCGTAAGAAAACAATAACCTTGCACTCCGGTACAGAGCCGCCACTGCAGGAGATGGGGCGCTCCCCTGGCACTTGCCAGCTGAAACAACGAGGGGGATCCCCGGAGGCGTACCTGGCAGAAAAAAATGGAGATAGAGAACAAGGCAGGGCAATATAGAACAGAAGTCAAAGCTGGGAGTTTCTCTAAGGTTAACTGACATAAAGAGAGTCATATAAGGCGTACCTGATAGAAAGTGTTCCATGGGAACAGAGCGAGGAGGTCCATGAGAAAGTAGGATAGCAGATACCTGAGGCGCAAGGAGAGGGACGAGAAGGGGGGGGGGGGAGGGGGGGAGAGGGAGGGAGGGGGAGGGGAAGGGGAAGGGGGGAGAAACCGTAGGGAAAAGGAGGCGGGGGAAAGAGCGGGGAGGGGAGAGAAGGGGGACAAAGTTGTGGGGGTCCAGGAGGAAGTAGGTAGGAGAGCAGGTGCCTGCAGCAACGTGGTTGCAGAGAAAGCAGTAGGGGGGGAAGAGGAAGAACGGCATTCGAGAGGAATGGGACGGCACGGCACGAGGGGAGGGAAGTAGAAAAGCAGGTACTTGCAGCAAGGCGGGGGGAAGGGTGGGGAGGAGGGGGGAGGAAAGGAGAAACAGGGAGAGGACATGTCAGGAGAGGAGGAAAGAGAGGAGGAAGAGAGGAGGAAGAGAGGAGGAAAAGAGGAGGAAAGAAAGAGGAAGAGAGGAGGAAAGAGAGGAGGAAAGAGAGGAGGAAAGAGAGGAGGAAAGAGAGGAGGAAGAGAGTAGGAAGCGCAGTTAGAAGAGGAGAGGGGATAATTCCATCAGGAATCTGCGAGGGTGGATGTGTGTCTGTCTTTGAAAGCGACAAAGGCATCAGCAGCAGATCAGCCAGGAAACACAGGATGACTGCCTCCAACCCCCTCTCTCCTGGCTCTGCCTATAACCGCCTCTTCCCACCCTCTGTCCCCGATCCTCATTCCCCCCACCCTTCTGCCCCCCCCCCCCCCCCCCCCACACCCTCCCCCCCCCCTTCACCTCCTAGCGACTTTCCAGTGGCTGGTGGCGAGGGTGCAGGTGTGCCCGTCCTTGAAAGCAGCAACGTCAACCAGCCCGTCAGGTCAGCCCCGTCAACCAGGCCGTCAGATCCGCCAGGAAACACAGGTTGACTGCCCCCCCAACCAACCTTCCTCCTCCCTCCTCCCCCCCCCCTCCCCCCTCCCCCCTCCCCCTCCTCCCCACTTCTCCCCAAACCTTTATACCCCCCCACCGCCCCCCTACCCTTCCCTCCGTTCGCTCCCTCCCAGTCACCTCTCAGCGATCTTCCAGTGGCTGGTGACGAGGGTGTAGGTGTGCCCGTCCTTGAATGCCACGAAGAACGTCAGCAGCAGATCCGCCAGGAAGCAGAAGTTGACGGCCACGTCAAGCCACGTCAGCCACGCCGGCATGCTGTCCGCCAGGAAGGCGAACTCGAAGGGCGTGATTAAAGCGGAGTAGAAACCGAGGGCTAGAGTCACCTGCTCCCATAGTAACAGATAGCTGGATGGAGGAGGGAGGGAAACATAGGGGGGAGGGAAACATAGGGGGGAAGGAAACATAGGGGGGAGGGAAACATAGGGGGGAGGGAAACATAGGGGGGAGGGAGACATAGGGGGGAGGGAAACATAGGGGGGAGGGAAACATAGGGGGGAAGGAAACATAGGGGGGAGGGAAACATAGGGGGGAGGGAAACATAGGGGGGAGGGACATAGGGGGGAGGGAGACATAGGGGGGAGGGAGACATAGGGGGGAGGGAGACATAGGGGGGACGCAAGGAAAGGGATTGCAAACACAGCTAAAGCGAACTCGAAGGGCGTGACTAAGGCGGAGGAGAAACCGAGGGCTAGAGTCACCTGCTCCCATAGTAACAGATAGCTGGCGGGGACGGGGAAGCGGGGGCCAGGGGGGCCAGGGGGGGAGGAACACGAGAGAAGAAAGCAAGGGGGTGTGATTGCGGTGGAGGGTGTGATTGCAGTGGAGGGTGTGATTGCAGTGGAGGGTGTGATTGCAGCGGGGGGGGGGGGGAAAGGACTCCAGTGTTGGATTGGTTCCGCCACCCACGACGGACCATTCGAGACTAGGGGCGACGGAGAGAGAAATACGGACTTGGGAGGAGAAAGAGTTAGGAAGCGAGGAATGGTGCGTGAGCGTGTGGTGTACGGAAAGGGGAGAAGCTGGAGAGAAGTTTGAGAGAAGATTGGTGGAAGGAGAGGAGATGGGATGATTGAGTGGAAGAAACGAAGGGAAGTGGCGAGAAACAGATTGACGTGGAGAAAAAGTGGTGATTGACGTGGATATCGACGAGGGCGGGAAGAAAGGACTCCAGGACCCCCCACCAGTTAACAACTCACGCGTCTTCCGGATCGACGACTCTCAACGAAGCAAGCTCCATGTTCCGCGGCATGCAGATGGCGAACGTTGACGACCGCTGCAGCATCGCCTCGCCTCGCACCGAACCGCCCCGCACTGAGTCTCCTCCCTTAAAACCCCCACCGTTCCTCCCAAACCGGTAGGAGTAGCTGGCGTCCGTGGTTACCCCTGACACCCCCGAGCTGACGCCGCTCGGCCATCTCCCCGCGAAGGTGGACGCGGAATCGTCGCGGCCGCGCCGGTTGAATCGCCAGAACGGCTGCCCGAGAAACGTCTCCGTGACGAATCGCTTGATCTGCGAATCTCACGAAGGGGTTGGATGGCAAAACGAGTGGGTACAGAGGCCGGAGGGGAACGGATTTTGAGCCAACCTGAACCCCGCAACGGTTGAATCGGCCAAACGGTTGCCCGAGAAGCGTCGTCGCAGCCACGTCTGGAATTTGCGAACGTGAGGGGCATGGGGTTCGCGCGGGAGAGCAAGTCCCACTTTTCGGCCTGCACAGGAGGAGAATGGGAACGTGAGGGACGTGCCGCGTGATCTGAGAATGCGAGGGGCGTGGGTATCTCGAGGCGACTATTGCCTCCGGCGCACTCCTCTTTCCGCGCCGTCACCCCACGTCTTGAATGGTCCGTCGTGGGTGGCGGAACCACTCCAACAGTATCGCGCGGGAGTGCAATCGATTTGCACGGTATCAATGCACAGCAGGAGGACGAGGTTCCGCTAAAACTGACGGCGTGGCCGTGTTACGATGTCAGTACTTCGGCATTCGACAGATAAATCCACGTCGGATATCGCGGTCGGAATGACGAGATGACAGTCAGCCATCATAGCAGTGAAGTTGACGGCGACGGCTGTTTTCACGCACCTGCTTGCCGACCGACAGCTCCACGGTCTCTTCGTCGAACCGGCTGCTGTCCGGCAGTCTATAATCCGCGTCGCGATCGCTTCCTCGACCCATCGTCCCTAACGAGGAGGACGGCGCTAAGAGAAACGGCGCTGCGCTCTTCCAGCAATTTTAACTTCAAGTTATACTTCAAGGAATAGGACTCCGAGCTGTCGAGACGAACTCGTAATCCGGCCCCTGAAGATAGAGCCCCGAAGCTTGAAACATCACAAAGAAGCCTTGTCTTGGCAAATTAAGAGTCCGAACTTTCTAAAGCCACGTGTGGACGCATAAATAGCTCGAATTGGGCCAGATACTTGGGCAGCGAATTCTATGAATGCGACATTTCTGGACATTCCGAAATGGGCGACATCAAGTGCCACTACTTAAAGTCGTTGTTGGCGCGACTTTTACACCTTCACGAAAAAACAAATATTGCTCACAAGACTGGTTGCGACGTGAGTGCCATCCTAGCAGCCTGTGCAACTCCTAGAGAAATACTACCACCTCGATAAGCGTGAAAGGAGGGGGAAACAGAAGTACTAGAAAAGCAGACGAAGAAGAAATAGGAGCTGACATCGAGGGGACTCGAAGAAATCAACCACGGAGAGACCGAGGGGACTCGAAGAAATCAAGACGAGGGGAGGATTCCACGTTCTGTGGATCGAACGGCTTATGTTCACCAAGGGAGTTGCGGCACCAGGATCGTCGTCATGATCGTGAGGGAGGAACATGGGGATTGACTCGTGCTGCCCCGTGCGGAACACAGCCAGAGCAAAAACATTTTGGAACTCGGCCACGTGGGCGCCCAAGGCCCATGTGGGAAATTCCTGTTGCTGGGGAATATACACAGGCGCAAAGGGCAGGAACAAACAACAGAAATTTATTCCCCAACAACAGAAATTCCCGTATTTATTGAGATATTCCTGCCCATAACACAACAAGGGCGATTCGCGGCTCGCGACTTCGCGACTTGGCCTAGCTTGTGGTCTCGGCTGGTGGCGGCTCCTCCCCCAAGCTTCTCTGCTTTCATACCCAGCACCTTGGCGAGCTACGATTGGTAGAAAATAGAACCGGTTTGCGGAGCTGTCACTTGTTGAATGGCCTTGAATGCACCAACCGAAGGAAATGTGGGGCTCGAACGCGCTACTGGTGCAAAATATGCCTCACAAGCTGAGAAACTACGGAAGGAAACGGCTATGATACGAAATAATAACACCTTAATAACACACCAAATAATACCATTTAACTTAGCTTCATTCAACATCACTTGTTGTATTCATCTACTAAAAAATGGGGCTTTCAAGGATTTACGTAGTGATAGGGCCCGAGGGGTGGCGAACACTTGGCATATTGAGTCGATACAGGCGAAGCGCATTGTTATGGAGAAGTCCACAAGCAACATGCAGTGCCTCTGGGAGAGTAAGGTCGCCTCCTTGCACAATTGAAGAAAGAGCGAGAAAAAGGATGCGCCTACCCCACATGGCACCTGACAAAAAGAAAAGCGGCGAGGCACTGGTCAGGTAAAGGGCTGGGAATGCGGCGTAAATTTAGTCGCATCAACAAGAACGTGCTGCTAAATGTCATCACATCTGGCAGCTTACTCAAGTAATAAGGTTCAGCGAATCCCACGGCGTCTGTGCTCATCATGACCTGACGAGGCAGGCAGGCAAACAGTTGGCATTTCAAAAGGAAGAGAGGAAGACGGTTAAGGGGAATATATCAAAGGGAGTATGTCAAAGCAAGCCAAGGGGGGTGGAGATAATGCACACGACACGAACCTTATTAAGAGGGGCGAGGTCAAGCAAGTCTACGAGGGCTGCCTTCGTGCCCAAGAGAGAAAGCTTGCTGAAGACCAGACCACAGTCAAGATGCACCTGGAGGGAGAGATGGAGGAAAAGGAGAACACCATGCAAGTCAAGGAGAGCTGCTTTCATGCCTGAAAGAGAAAGTTTGCTGAAGACTAGACCACAGTCAAGATGCACCTGGAGGGAGAGATGGATAGAGGAGGAAGACCGAGGAGCTTCCAAGGGACTTTGAAAGAAGCTTGCTGGAAACCAGACCGCAGTCTACTACATACACTTGGAGAAAGGGAAGCACCTCAAAATAAGGCCACTGCACACAGCAGCACCTCAAGTGCTACAGATTATGCTCAAGACTACTCCTACTCTCAAAAGCAGGACCTCGTTCCGTACCACTCACATGAACAGGTAGCAGGAATGCAGGAGCGTAGCTTCCAGTACCTCCATCCACACCACTCACAGCAAAATATATCCTGTGCTACCTGCTCCCAATGGCCAATGCAACAGCCCCCCCCCGCCCAAGGAAAAAAAAATCATACCGTGGAGTACACAGAAGCGAGGTAGGAAGCTTCCCTCGTGAACGGGTAGCAGGAGTGCAGGAGAACGATAGGCGCAGCGTAGCTTCCAGGGCTACAGACCTCCCTATCTGCCTGCCCCAGTTGCGCCTCCCCCCGTTGCTCCTCCTCGACCAGCCCCTCATTGAACTCCAGCAGAGGGCGCAAGCAGAGGGGGTTGGCTGCTGCCAAGTCCAGGTCCCTGTCGCCAAAGCTGGAGAGATGCAGAATGTGGGGGACGAAGGGATGGATGAAACACCCATCAAGGCTTGAAAAACTATGGCAGGTTGGATTGAACTCCCTTTGGTAAAATTTGAAGCTCAGAATGGGGGGGGAGGAAGGGTAAAAAGTCCCATCGAGACTTGAAACACTATGGCGGGTTGAACTCCCTGTGGCCAAAGCTCCTACGCCTGATTGCTACACATTGGCCGTTGGACTTTGTCGTTTGATGATATCGCAGTTGACACGTCATCCTGGTACTCACCCGCAGTGTACTCACCCGCAGTGTGCTCACCCGCAGCAGTGTACTCACCCTACTCACCCGCTGTGTACTCGCCCGCAGTGTACCTGCAGCGGCAGCTGGTGCTTAGCAGCCACGGCAAGACTCGTGACTACACCCGGATGACCACCAACCGATTACTCACCCACAGTGTATCTGCAGAGGCATCTGGTGCTTAGCAGCCACAGCAAGAGCACTGGCGATGCAGAAGCTGATCACCCGAGGGTCGGACAGGCGGAGGCTCGGCGGCGAGGTCCGGGCTACCGAAGCTGAGGTATGGACAGTGAGTGACAAAGAGGGTCAGAGAGAGAGAGAGAGAGTGAACTGAGCTTTCTATCAGGAAGAGAACAATGTGAAGGAGACGAGCAAGGGGCAAGATGAACCCCTCCAAGGTGGCTTGAATGCTGAGCTCCGCTTCAGCAGGCGTCACAAACGGATCAACGGAGAGACCGAGAGAGGGGGGGGGGGCGGGGCGGATTGGAAGGAAGGGGATGGGGGGGAGGGAAGGAAGGGCGGAATGCACGCACCCAGCGCGGCTTGAATGCCCAGCTCCACTTCCGCAGGCGTCACTAATGGATCGATGGAGAGGCCACAGCGGTAGGCTGCAATGGTCTTGAAGGCCACCACTCCAGGCGGCGGGGTGGAGTCAACAAAGGTCAACAGTGGTCAAAACAAGTCAAGGGGAGTCAAGAAGGGTTAAGGAGAACAAAGGGATCGATGAAGAGACCGCAGCTGGAGGCTGCAATGGTCTTGAGGGCAACCACTCCAGGCGGCAGAGTGGAGTCAACGCGGGTCAATGAGAGTCAAGGGGTAAAGAAAAGGGTTAAGGAGAAGAAAAACAAGCGGGCAAAGTTTGAGTGAAGGATAACAAGGTCACAAGTTGGCAGGACAGCAAAGATTGATAGCAGAAGATTACGGATGGGTCCGAACAGAATAACAAGAGGACTATCATCCTAACAGAGAAGAAAACAGGGTGGACCAAGCAAGGCTACGAAGACCAAGAGGAAGAGTCCAGTTTTGAGGCGCCTCAAAAATAGAGGAGAAGGGTATGGGTCGATGGCATCATGGAACCGCTTGGAGAAGCTGCCCAATGTCCACGTGCCACCTGGCGCAGGTCCCACCAAAATATCTTCTGCTAGGGTTTCCAGCCGCAGCACTCGCCGCACCACCGGTGCTAGCCCCTCATGCCATGCCACGCCCCTCCACCTCCACCTCCCTCCCTCTCCCTGCTCCCCTCCCTGCTGCTCGTCCCCCCTCTCCTGTTTTTCGTCCCCCTCTCCTGTTTTTCGTCCCCCCTCTCCTGTTTTTCGTCCCCCTCCGCTGCTCGTCCCCCCCTGCTGTTGTTCGTCCATTGACCCTCCACCTTCTCCTGCACCTCCCTCCCCTCGCCCCCCTTCTCCCTCTCCGCCTCCACTTCCCGCTCCCCAGTTCCAATCCGCGCTATTAGCCACCCCGCCTCTGAGCCCATCGTCTATAAGCAGAGCAGAGATTCTCGCAGCACCAAACAGCTTCTGATTGGCTGCAGCGTCGCCCAATCGCAGCCGAGCAGCTGCGACTGCCTCCAGTGACATGGCGTCCGCTGACAGGGCGGCCGCCAGCTCACGGATACTGCGCTGTTTGTGGCAGAGGGAACGACGGAGGACGGGGGGAGGGGAAGGGGAAAGGGATGTGAGGGAGATAGGAAGGTCGAGAAACGCGTAGCGATTAAAAACGAACGGACCTTAACGGCGATGGAGTGTACTGCGTGTTCTCGCGCTTTTCCATGCGCTTCCGTCAGCGTTCCTAGCAGCGCGTCGCTGAGAGATGTGACTGTAACGGGAGGCTCGAGCTCCATCAAGCAGTGGCAGTGGTGGTCGAGAAGCGGACACGTGTCGATGAACGCGCGCAGCTGTTCCATGTCAGCATCTTGGCGAGTATCAGTGAAAGTAGAAGGAATCAAGCTACCAGAAATTGAACCAGAAATTGAACTCTTAAATTCGGCCGACATAGTTTACACGCGCCGCAAGAGCTACATAGGTTTAGGGAACTGCCAGGGTCCAGCTGACGAGCAAAAGGGAATTTCAGGATACTACTCGACGGGAAAAGGAATGAGAAAGTAGACGAAGTATGAAATTGGATCTGTAAGCTGGCAGGTTGCGAGCTGGCAGAGAAAGCAGATGGTCGACTGAATTTCAGAAAGCGCAAGAAACGGACAGCTGATGCTGGCCCAACACATTCAGCCGAGGATCCTCGCTAAATTCACGGCGGATTTATTTACTGGGTTGATCAGCATGTCGAAATTCCCTAGGAGCCCTTTCCGTCGAAGGGTAGGGGCACGCTGAGGGCGTTGTACGTAAGTTTGGACGGTTCGAGTGGTACAGTAATTTACAGAACGGTTCCGGCGTTTTTCAGCCAGATGTTCGCGTGGTACAGTATGGTTGAAGGCCGGACAAAGGCTGGTCGGACCCCTAGGCACCACGCTGCATTGAGGATATATGGGAGGGACATGATCTGCTGTTGCCACCTCAAAAGCTAGCATGCTGACACCACTGCTGTCGGAGAATTTTGTCCGCCAAAAGTTTATCCGCTTAGCTCCCTGATACACATCGAGAGAACGCGCTATACGTGATAAAACATGTGACGATCAAGAAGGGATGATTTCCGGTTTTATGGTTTTTTTTTTTGCTACTTGGCGTACCCACCTGCTGCTTGA